TATAAGTGTCTTTACTTTACAAAGAGCACCACCGGTTTTCTATTCTGGAATTTTGATAGAACTTCGCATGGTACCACCCTAGTTGATAGTCGAAATGAAGCCCTAAAATATTAAACTCTATCACCATGCGAAGTTTTTTCATAATATCAGAAAAGTAAATCTGAAGTTTTCTTTTTAAGTACCTTAAAATATAAGTCTTGAGGCGATAGATGATTGCAAATAAATTGTCGGCGTAATAATTATGATCGGAACTTTCAAATCAAAACAATCAAATTTTTACTCATTTGTATGGTGAAAATGAATAATGTTAAGGAGCTTATAATATGAAAACAATCAAACTTTTACTAATTTGTATGGTGAAAGGAATAGAGTTAAGGAGTCGATAGGTTTGGGATTTTCATTTTGTGTCCCCGGTTTTTTGTAAAAGCAATATTTGTCACGGGTTTTCAAAAAGGTTCAAATTGAATTTTTGCTCTAATTTGGTACTAAAATTACAACTACCAATTGAATATTTGAAAATGGTGTGTACAACTAGTATGCTTTAATGAAACAATACATTATGAATAAGAACATTGTCGAATGCAAACTCCAAAGACGACTTAAAATTGAGTTTTACGAAAATTAGCAAAAATTATGGAAACGAACATTAAGACTGCTTGGAAAAATGCTCATTTTTATTAAGTTACATATGAAGAAAATGAAACAGAGTTTTATGCAAGGGGTAAAAGCGAAGAAAAAACTTACAGATCAAAGCATAATATAATATAAAAGCCACGGTCCCGTATTAGCATTACTACAAATTGCCGTTCCGATTTTGTTATAAAAATATGGTGACCTTATTAACTTCCCGTAGGGTAAGTTATAGTAATCGCAAAAAAATCGAAAATGAAAATTTTTATATATCTTTATGTTTCTAAGGTTTCTGAATATTTGGCATACCTTTGAAAAAATGGACGTATGTGTGTGTGTGTGTGTGTGTGCGTGTGCGTGTGTATGTGCGGATACAAATTTTCGTCGACGATTTCGGAAACACGGATCAACCGATTTGAAAATATTCAAAAAACATTCGATTCGTATTGGCAAGGAGACGTGCTGATTAGTTTTGGCGAAAGCAGGTCTAGCCGTTCCGAAGATACGGGGCCAAAAGTGCCAAAACGGTAACTCAGTTTTTAAGACAACGGAGCTTCCGATTTGAATAATTCGAAAAACATTTTATTTGTATTGACAAGATGAAGAACCGAATACATTTTGGGAAAGCAGGTCCAGCGGTTACGGACTCTCAATAAAAATAAGATAAAAAATGTCATTTGGCGGTCAAAAATGTTTATTGGACATATGTACATCAAATTATCAGATATGTTATAGAGATTTTAATAATGTGTACCAAGATTTTTAATTACGGTACAGGAAGTTATAGCAATTTGTCTTAAGGCACGATGCCATGCACTCCACTAGTTATTAAGAGTACTTATGAAGAAAATGAAACAGAGTTTGATGCAAGGCGTTAAAACTAAGAAAAAACTTACAGATCAAAGAATAAAAGATAAATTTAAAAGCCTCTCGTTCGGTCCCGTATTAGAACTACAAATTGCCGTCCCGATTTTGTTATAAAAAATATGGTCACCTTATTATTATGTATAACTGAGTAAGCACTTGAAAATCTTACATCAGCGCTGATACTTTCGTTTCGTGGCGGCCCTACCGCAGTCTTTTGTCTTTTGACGGTCTTAGCAACAAAGCAAGCAGGGTCTCATTAAATGTTATTGCTTTGTTTTCTAAACTAGTTGTTTTTATTATTACTGTGCATATAATTTCTTGGTTGGCTCAACACATTGTCGCGTTGATTACGTTAATTTGACTTTGACGTCGCCGTCGCGGTGACGCTTGCTTAAATACTCGGCGATTAAGCTTAATATGAACCATGGTAATAGATCTACCTCATGGGACTAGTAATTTTTAAGAGTACTTATCATCATGGTGAGTTTTTGTCCAGGACTGTGATTTTAGTCGGGAATATATGGGTTCAGAAGAACAATGACATTGCTTTATAACGGTTTTGCATTGGACAATGCATAGCTCTCTTCTTCTTCTTCAAAAATTTTCAATAAGCAGTGTGTATTTAAAATGCTTGAATATATATTAGGTTGTCAAATATCTCCCTTCCGCCTTTTTGTATTATAAACCAAGAGCAAAAAGCGGAAGGGAGATATTTGACAACCTAAATATATATATATATATATATATATATATATATATATATATGTATATATTGTATAATATATATATATATATATATTGTTGAGCGCCGATTAGCTTTCTCTCCCATCAACCAATTTCGTTAGATGTTATTGTAATATCATAATAAATTCAAATTAAACACAATATTCTTCATGTAACTTTTATTTTCCCGTTCATTAATACTCTGAGATGTCGTCATCTATACGAAAATTACACAACTGAGCAACTTAAAAAACCATTTCGGCTTTATATAGCCTTATCATTTAATAATCAGGGACTTTCTTTGGTTTTGAATTAGATCAGTAGTTTCCTTATATGTATAAGTGCGAATTATGTGATTCCCCGATCGAAATTCATAGGAATTACTGCGTCGTACGCAAAGGCTCACGTACGCATTTGGAAAAAGTTCATCGATCCTATTTTGATTATAATACTTTTGTTACTCGATATGAGTTTCATACAATGTAACGAGTTCTTGGGTTGAATACAATGTTGAGAAACTGAGAATCGGATAAAAACAAAGGATTAAAACAAATAGAAATTTGTTAAACAAAAAATTACCATCTTGAAAACAAAAAAAAAAAATTAAAAGAAAAAAATTAATACATCATTCTTAACTCAAATCTAAACAACTTATTGAATAACGTTATACTCATACGTAACTAAATAGGTTAAACAGCAATTGTTTTTAATATATAGATCAGTTATATAACGGTATATACGTTGACAAATTAGCACTATGTAAATAATACATTAACATTAGCATAGCAAATAGCACAGTAATGCTGTTTGTCTTAAACTCGAAAATTTTATGTCACTTTTGTTCTACTGATTATTTGCAGAGTTGAGATTATGATTGTTTCCGCGGTCTAATATAATTGTTAGTATTTTTACTATAATAATAGATGCCAGTTGTGATGAATTTATTTTCAATAATATATGCCAGTCAATAATCAATTTTCAATTTTTTTATTATGCGTATACAAAAAATACCCAGAATCCTACATTTTCATCCTCTTATCACAAGAACTACTATTTCATAAGAATAATTATAGTAAATGCATAATTTTTCAGCTCGATTTCTGTAAGGGAACGTTTTTGACTGAATTTATAACGAGATGTTTTGAGCTTATGAAAAGCTTAATTTCACATAAAAAAAAAAATATCAAGGATTGTTTAACTCTAGAACTTATTTTTCAGTATATTGGATCAATTTTTTGTGATTTTTTAAATTTTATATTCATATAAGATTTTTATTCATTATGTTTCACCATATATATTTAGATTTTAGATCATTATTTTTATTTTTGGCCTTCAACCTTATAATTAAGCCGCATCGCATAGATTAAATAGTGTAACTATTATTACCTATTCCAAGTAAATTAAAATAGTTTATCTTTTTTTCTCACCTGGCTGTTCTCTTATAAACCGGAAGATATTTTTTCGAAGAATATCAAAAAACATGTTTCTACAACTATGAATTTATGAATGACATTATTCGATTGTTTGTTTGATATGTGTTTATCTGTTGTTATATAGTTGATGTGGTTTTTACTATATTATTATTATTTAAAATTTTATTAAAATTATTTAAAATTTATTTAAAAATCAGGATTAAAAATGCATGCAATTCAATATCTACATCATGTAGAAATGATAAATAGAACTCATTTTACGTAGAGAGCACATGAACAAAAAAAAAAAACGCTGATGCTTCACAACTCAACCACCAACTAACATTTTCTATTTTCCACCATAATTACATGTAACAAAACGGCATTTATGCTAAAATTTATAATTACATGTTTAATTTTATGGTTTAATCATATGTTTTAATTATTTTAGCATAGCAACGCGTAATCGGGAACAGCTAGTTGAATATAAGAAAAAAATATATTATAGTAATTATTATATAAGTGTACGGGAAATGATCAAAGGGCAGGCAGATTTTTATGGTTTATATTTGTTACATTACTAATTTTTCACCTATATTTATCATATATTAATTCGTCACTTAATTATAGATTAAAATTGATTATTTTTTATTTAATTGAAGTTTTTTCTACTAAACTTTGTCAGTTTTTTTATTATCAAGGTACATTGTTTTGTCTTTCCATAGCAGTTATGCTAGACGAGTATTATTAAACCGATTAAAATTAATTACAGTGCACGACGAATAAAGTTTTGAGAAAATGACAATGTTGTGATAAAATTACTTCATGATTGATTGAAGATTTCACTGAACGACTTATACAATTTTTTTTTTATTACATAACCCATACAATAGTATATGCATTTTTTTTTTATTAAATACGTGACTGCACATGCCGCAGTTGTATGAAAATATAAATTAAGATATGACATTGAGTTCTAAATTGGATATA